CCCCCGCGGCGCAGCTCCTCAGCTGCCGCTGCCCCTCAGCCCAACGCCGCTGGCGCCTGCCCCTCCCCCAGGTGGGCCCGCGCCGCGGATGCCGGGGAGGCGGAGGACCGCGACAGTCGTGCTCTCGGTGACCGGCGCCTGGCCCGGGCTCGTCCGGTTCCCGGAGCGATGCGGCGTCCTCTCTTCGCGCTCCGGGCGTTTTTCTGCCCGGACGGCGGCCAGTGCTCTGCGGGGTCGGGGGTGCCCTGCGGGGGTGAGGAGGCTCGGGCGAGGGTCCCGCCTTCTCGCCCATCCTGTCGTCGCGTCCTTCTCTGGCATTGGGGCAAAGGCAGCCTTCGCATGCGGACGTGTTGCTGCTGTCCTGCGTGTGTTGCATCCTGCCCACGTGGTAGTGTCCCGTCCCTCCCACTCCCTCCATTTTTGCAGTTGGTCAAGAGGGAGTTAACGGGATGGCTCCCCCCCCCATGCTTTACAGCCCCCACCATCCCGTGATTTCTTCCGGGCAGCGTGGAAGGTGTTAAGGTCAGTTTGTTTTGCTGAGAATGACTGTTTTATGGGAGAATCAAGAGTTGTACTCTTACGAAATTGAGACCAGTAGGGGACATACCAGACCTTAGTTCATTGACATCTTTTCCACCCCAGGAGCTCTTGTTCTTTTCTCTACCGCTTAATCCCCCGGAGAGCAAGCACTTGCTACTGATGTGTTGATGTGCACAGTTTCCCTTTCTCTATTCTACTTTACGTGTCTCTGTGGCCTAATGCTTTCCATTCTGTGTTGGTGCCGTGCTCTGGTGGTTGCCAGATTCCCTGAATGAGGAAGCTCGAGATTGGTGGGCTTCTTTTCGCTTTTCACTGTTTGTCTTTATTTTTTCCTTGTGTTTTATTCCCCAGTGAGAATGCGTGCATGCATGTTCTTTGGGCGTTAGTTGTATACATAGGTTTTCTTTGGCAGGTGGATTAGGTTCCATTTGGCTGTACTGAAAGTTCTTTTATTCCACTTTTCTAAAATGCACTAGGTACTATTGGGCTCTGTTTAACACTGGTTTTGAAACACGTGGGTATTGTTCGTTTTGTTTTATTTTCCCTTTAATAGCTGTCTCTTCCAGGTTAAGGTTTTCATCTTGGCTATGTTTTGCTCTTTGGAGACCACAGATTGCTCTCTTTCCAATAGCACTGACAGGCTGTTTATTCCTTTTAAACCATAGCATGTATTTATAGAGAAAACGATAACTGCTCCCCCCCCTTTTTTTTTCAGGCCAAGTGATCCCCATCTTTATGTTAGGAAGGGGTGTAGATGCGGTTGAATTTTTGAGTTTTTAGATGAGCTTGGAGGTTGCTGATTCCTGTTTGGTTTTGTTTGGAATTGAGATGAATCTTGTCCTGTGCTGCTGCCGAGCAGTTTCTCATGCCTTTATTAGATGTTTTGTGGACGAGGTCAAGATGTTTATTTTGGCTTTCAGTTTATTAGTTGGGGTAAAATGAAACTTAACTGTTTTGAAGTCATTCTTGTGAAAATTTCTAGTTTTTTTTTGTTTTTCACACTAAAGCTTTTCCTTTATTATTTAAATTTATTTTTCAATTTTAGACAGTTTTATATAGACCAAGCTGACTTCTAAGTCAGTGTGGTGAGGACTGGCTTTGAACTCTTGATCATGCCTTCACCTCCCAAGTACTGGGATCACATACCCTGTCACTATTATAACTGGCTACATTTAGTCTCAAAATGCATTTTTTTTTTTCTTTTTTTTCTTTCGAGACAGGGTTTCTCTGTGTAGTTTTCGTGCCTGTCCTGGATCTTGCTGTGTAGACCAGGCTGGCCTCGAACTCACAGAGATCTTCCTGGCTCTGCCTCTCAATTGCTGGGATTAAAGGCATGCACCACCACCAACCACCACCCGGCTTTAAAATGTATTTTTAATAGTGCCTTTTTCCTTTTTTATCTGATACAAGTGTGAGCATATTCTTCCTTTTCCTTTTATGTAGAATAAAAGTATTTAAATACAGATTCTGCTTTCATTATGCTAACCTTGGGTGGGGCTGTGAAAATAGAATGTTGTTCTGATACATTCTGAGGCACATTTTTATAGTAAGGCTGTCAGCATTTGTATACTTGTGTAAAGTACCATGCTGTGAAGTAAGATACATAAAGACACACAAGGACTGAAATAATGGGTGTCTGAAAAAGGAGTGGAAGTTGTCTCTACCTTTGGAGGAGCAGCCTTATACATCATGTGTACTAAACAGTCTTTCCATTTGAAATAACGCAACCAAGTAAGTAGTGTGAAAAAGGAATTTCCAATGGTGAAGAGGCTTATTCAGGAGATTAAAGGGACTTGTAAAGGCAGAAAAGTGGCATGATACCAAGTAGCTTGATGGTCACAGAGCATTTATTGGTGGATAAATATATGTACTTATATGTTTGGCTAGGGTACATTGGTTGAGGATCATCAAGGATACAGGATTTGGTTTGGTAGGGTGCCATAGTACTTTCTCAAGACAGTGAAATGATGTATATTGTATCCAAGAAAGGTTTCTGTGTCAGCTGAGTGTGCAGGAAATGGGAAAACTGACTAGAATGTTCTTGGAAAGTTTTAGGAATAAGATGGTGGTCTGATATAAGAAACTGGTTGTGAAAGTAAGTAACATTTATTGAATGCTTATAGCATTCCTGGAATTATTGTAAGTTTTTTTTTTTTTTTTACATATTTTTAAGTTATTTTATTAAGTCTCTGTCTTATGTTTTGGAATCATCAAATGACTTAGCAGGCAGGGTCCTAACTGTGTGCATTGAATCATCATTTATGGTGGGTAGTCCTAAGAGACACACATTTGCAGTGATGGCCTGGAAGTGGTAGGAAAGCACGCGACACTTGTCAGGAGGGTTGTAGGACAGTGGGGACTCTGCAGAATTTGGGGTTTTACAGTAGGCTAAGGGGAAAACGAAGCATTCTGAGAGGAACCAGCAAGTAGTTTCTGCCTTAGAGGCCAAGAATAGGAAGATTTTCTAAAGGGTAGGATTGTTGACAATATTTAATTTAGTTTTAAAATTCATGGACAGCGACCTTAATGCAAAGACATTGAACCAGACCAGAAGGAACTTTGAAAGGAAAGTAACAGATTGGTAATATTTTAATATTTTCTCCTAAAGTTTCCTCTGGTATTATTATTGATCATATCAGAGTTACTCAATTGTCAAAAAATGAGTTTGTCTTCAAAAAAAGAAACTAGTGTTCCAAGCCGGGTGGTGTTATTGCATACCTTTAATCCCAGCACTTAGGAGGCAGAGGCAGGAGGATTTCTGAGTTGGAGACCAGCGTGGTCTACAGAGCAAGTTTCAGGACACCAGAGTTACACAGAGAAAACCTATCTGGAGAAACAAAAAACAAAACAAAAAAAGAAAAAGAAACTAGTGTTCTCAAGATAGTTACTTTTTACTTTTAACTATTCTTATAGGTTTCTTTATGCAGTCCTGATTGTTCTGAAACCCTCTGTGTAGATCAGGCTGGCTTCAAACTCCAAGACTCCCTTGCTTCCACCTCCTTCATCACCACCATGCACCGAAGGATCACACTGTTTCACACCGACAGTCTCTTGTGTCTGACTTCTTTCTTGTTTAAGGGTTGTTGATGTAGTAGGTCAGTGTTTCATTGCCAGATATTCTACAGTATGGATATATTTTTATCTAGTCTTCATCAATGTCATCTAGTCTTCATTCTACCAACT